AAAAAAAAAAAAAAAAAAAAAAAAAAAGAAAACAGGTAAATTAATCTGATGTTAAAACTCATCTTTGGTTCATGATTGGTAGATAGTGGTTACTTTTAAAAAGGAAGGAGGGCCAGCCTGGGCAACAGAGTGAGACCTTGTCTCTACAAAAAAAATCAAAAAATGAGGAGACAGGATCACTTGAGCCTGAGGGGTTAAGGCTACAATGCGCCATGATCACACCACTGCACTCCTACCTGGGTGACAAAGTGAGACCCTTCCTGAAAAAACAAAAAAAGGAAGGACAGAGCAACAATTGGTAGGCAGTTCAAGGGGAATTTCTAGAGTTCTGCAATATTTTACATCTTGACCAGGTGATTGTTAATGTGGATATATTCACTTTCTGATAATTCACTTAGCTGTACACTTCTGATTTGTGCATTTTAATGTATACATACTATATCTCAATGTTTCAAAAAGGGTTATTTCAAGTATTTCTAATCATATTCCACTACTAAAAACACTTTAACAATTCCCCATAGCCTAAATGCAAAATTGAAGCTCTTAAGCATGGCAAAGCATAATATGGTTCCTATCTTTAACTTAATCCTCATGTCTGTCCATCCCCACAGATACTTTGTATTTCAATTTGTCAAATTATTTACAGGCCCAGAACATAAAATACTGCTTCAGCCTTCATGCCTTTAGATAATATTTCCATTAGTTGATATTTTCTCCCTCTTTACACTCCACTAGGTCACCATACTGTCCTTGAAATTTCCACCCAGCTTGGATATTAACTCCTCCAAGATGCTTACCTATCCTTCCACTCCAAAATTAATCACCCTCTTTTCTATATTCAGTGTATTACTGCATGCATCAAGTGATAGCACAATTGTCTGTGTCAGTCCATACTCTATTGTAATGTAAACAATTCAAGCACAAAGTCTAAATTTTCATGTTGCCAATGCCAAACATGAGGCTTGGCATGTGGTGGTTACTCAACAAATTTCACTCTTATGTTTATTTCTGTACTAATTAAGACTGTAAAACTATCTAGGATGAAACCTAAGTCTTATAATTCCTCCATAGCACACAGCATAGCAAGAGCACACTACAGGCATACAACAGTGATGGTTTAGCTAGCAGTGGAATGTTTACCAAAACACAGTTCCATGGACAAAATGCGCTTTTCAAACCATATGCTCACCTAAGATATGTATGTCCTACTGGAATGCCAGAAGGTCATATTTATATATGTGTGTGTGTGTGTGTATGTATATATGTATGTGTGTGTGCATATATATATATTTCCAGAGTTTTGAGCTACAAGAAACCAATAGCAATCACCTAGTTACAATCCTTAGGGAAGAACTGAAGCCTAGAAAAATTAAGTGGCTTGCTCAAGAATAAGGCTATAGCCAGAAGGGTCAAGACTAGGACTGAGATTGCCTAGGTTCTCTCACAATCCATGTAGCCTCCCTTTTGTACTATGTGACTTCTCAAAGTATGACTGCTTTACTGTTTTATATTTACATGGTTAATATCCACAAATGCAGGGCTTTTAAAAATTTTCATTTTAAAATTTGTCTCTAACGAACAAATACTAAAAGTACCAACAAGTTCAACCAGGAAAACACCATTTCCAGTTCCAATATCAAGCACTGAAGCATCCAATGGAATCTTGTGTTTCTGCATCCACCTTATTAGTCGGTTCATACTCTCTTCTCCAAACCTGTTAGAGAGAATCAGTCAAATAACTGAGGGGTACAGAGCAAAAGTCACCACTACATTCCATTTAAGCTATTTATACCATATGTTCAAACTCTTATTTGAAAGTGAAAACATCTGTGACTGCTTAAGCTTTGTCTCTACTGTAATTTAGAAGAAACCACCTCCAGGAATACAACAGAATAGACAAGGTCAGTATGTTACTAACATTTCTCCGTATCAGCATTAACACTTGTATGTGTTGGTGGCTCAAAATTTTATTGTTTATTAAAAAAGGACAACTACAGGGTGAAATGTTGTCATCAAATGTAAATGTGAGATTTTAAAAGAGGACTCACACCCATTCTCCCAACATTTTGGAAGGCCACAGTGGGAGGACTGCTTGAGGCCAGGAGTCTGAGACAGCCTGGGTAACACAGTGAGACCCTGTCTCTACAAAAAAGAAAATTTGCTGGGCATGGTGGCACACAGTTATAGTCCCAGCTACCCAGGAGGCTGTGGCGGGAAGATCACTTGGGCCCAGGAGGTGCAGATTGTAGTGAGCTATGATGATCTTGCCACTGTACTCCAGCCTGGATGACAGAATGATACCCCACCTCTCTTAAAAAAAAAAAAAAAAGAGTAAAAAATAAAAAATAATAAAAGAAGAGACATACTTTAAACCTACCCACTAAAGCCAGACTTAATCCAGGGTTCCCAGGATTTTTAGGCTTTCTTTGGGTATAAGCACTTGAATATATACATATTTGTTTAAACACACACATATACATACAATCTTCTAGATTATAACTTGATTGTTTTCCTAACTCACCAGATTTCACCTGTATCTCCAAATTCTCGGAAAGTTTGCAGTTCTCTCTCATAGACAGCATCCCAACTATGTAAACAATGAAATGCAAAGCGAAACTTTTGAATTAAACTGTGTTATGAATTAAATGTATGTTTCTAATACATTACAGAGCTATTTATGACAGAGGTTTAAAACATCACTAGTGTTATTAATAAGTACACATAGTTCAATCTTTTTACACCCTTGAGTTAAAAGAATGAAATACCTGGGCAAGCAGAATACATTTATACTGTACATGTAAAGCATTTAGGACAGTATCTGACGCACAACAATAAGTTTTAGCCTAAAAAAACACAGACATTTGTCCACGTATCCCTAAGTCCCTGACCCAAGTTCAAAACTTGATGAAACAAGCACATCTGGTCTCAAGCGTGCAGGCACACAGTCTCTTTCCCGTGCTATTTGTCTCTGCCTATTCCAGTCTTCTAGCCCTCCGTTTAAATTTTCTTTCTTTTTTTTTTTTTTTTTTTTTGAGACGGAGTCTCGCTCTGTCGCCCAGGCTGGAGTGCAGTGGCCGGATCTCAGCTCACTGCAAGCTCCACCTATTCTCCTGCCTCAGCCTCCCGAGTAGCTGGGACTACAGGCGCCCGCCACCTCGCCCGGCTAAGTTTTCGTATTTTTTAGTAGAGACGGGGTTTCACCGTGTCAGCCAGGATGGTCTCGATCTCCTGACCTCGTGATCCACCCGTCTCGGCCTCCCAAAGTGCTGGGATTACAGGCTTGAGCCACCGCGCCCGGCCTCCGTTTAAATTTTCTCTGAACGCTTTTCTTTCTTTTTTGGGACGGAGTCTCGCTCTGTCGCCAGGCTGGAGCGCAGTGGCGCGATCTCCGCTCACTGCAACCTCCGCCTCCCGTGTTCAAGCGATTCTCCTGCCTCAGCCTCCCGAGTAGCTGGGAGTACAGGCGTGCGCCACCACCCCGGCTTATTTTTGTATTTTTAGTAGAGACGGGGTTTCACCATGTTGGTCATGGCTAGTCTCGATCTCCTGACCTCGTGATCCGCCCGCCTCGCCTCTCAAAGTGCTGGGACTACAGGCGTGAGCCACCGCACCCGGTCCTCCGGATCCTTTTCATTTGCCTCGTCTTTTCCTACAATGATTCTCTAGAATCCCTGCTCCCTCTCATCCTGCCAGTTTACCTCTCCCCAGCCGTTCCCTGCAGTCATTGATCCACCCACATTAATTCATTTAATAATTCCTGAGCGTCTGTTTTACGTCAGATCGCTTTCTCTCACCCCATGATCCCCCACTCTTCCTCGCTCCCGCCTCGGGCCATCCGCTATTCCCACCCCACTTCTAGCTCCCACATCCCTCCCCTCCTACCCTTAGCCTTTTCAGCTCCCAGGCCCAGCACTTCTCCCTCGGTCTCTCACTCTCGCCGACCAGCTCTATTCGCCAGCCTCGCCCTCTCCCCCTTTCCCCCAAGCCTGGGCCTCGGTTCGAGACTCTCAGAAGGCCTCCCGGGAGCTTCAAAGCCTGTCCCGCACCCACAAGCCCCTTGGGCTCCCATCACTTGAAACGTCGGTTAACCGCGCAGGGCGACCCCTAGAGATTCCAGTCTTTCAAATCCCCCTGAGACCCCCGCCAGGTGGCCCTGCTGCCGTCACGCTCCCGAGGGTCTCCCTGTCCCCGAGCCCTGGGTCTCTACCCCGCCGTCCCCTTCTCGGGGCCCAGGCAGGGCGGCACGGCTCATCCTCCCCTGCCCAGCGTCACACTCACTGCTCGCGGGTCCCCAGCGCCGACGGGACGAAACCGTCCTCCCCGGGACTGTCCTTGTCCGACAGCGCAGCCACCTCAGCGCCACTGCCGCCGTCAGTATCCGAGCTCATCTCGCTCCACGTCCTGGACGGCCGTTGGGTCCGCCATAGAGACGGGGCACAGGCAGAGCGGACAAGCGGGCCGGCGCCTCTAGGCGGCGGGAGGCCGCCCTCTCGACTGCTCCATCCCCCGCGCTGGGGCTGGGCTGGGGACGCGAAGCCCTCCGGGCTCTACCCGGCCTCCAGGCGCCGGCGCGGACCGTGGGCTCTCCCCAAAGCGTTAGTGGTACCCCCTTCGTCAAGGTCCAAGCGCGGCTGTATTTGGGGACTGTTGTTTGTGAGGGACCATTAGAGATACTGCATTTTGGTAAAAGGCTAGCTTCGGTACTGTGGACACCTAAAGCCGACGCCGCTCTACCCAAACGCAGAAATCACCTCACCTCCGCACCGTGTGCGCCCGTCTGCGAAGCGGATGAGAGCGTCCATCCAGTTATTTGGCTCCTCGACAAGAGGCCAACTTCGTTTCTGGCTGAGATTCTGACTTCAAAATTGCATTCTGGCCTCTTGTGATTTGATGTCACCAGTAAACGATGGAAATTTATGTCCAGGGAAAGGAATGCCCTGCAACTCCCCACAATATGCCGAACACGGGGATCAGTGTGTTGTGAAAGAAAGACTGCTAAGTGAGAGAATGCCTGACCTCGACCCAGGCACCTGGCCTTGTCTAAGTGTTTTGGGGTTTTTTTGTGTTTTGTTTGTTTTGTTTTGTTTTTTTGAGACGAGGTTTCGCTCTTGTCGCCCGGGCTGGAGTGCAATGCAATGGCGCCATCTCGGCTCACCGCAACCTCCACCTCCCGAGTTCAAGCGATTCTCCTGCCTCAGCTTCCCGAGTAGCTGGGATTACAGGCGTGAGCCACCACCCCCGGCTAATTTTGTATTTTTAGTAGAGATGGGGTTTCTCCATATTGGTCAGGCTGGTCTCTCCAAGTCCCGACCTCAAGTGATCCGCCCACCTTGGCCATCTCGGCCGTCCCAAAGTGCAGGGATTACAGGTGTGAGCCACCGCGCTTGGCCTCTTGCCTAAATCTTAACCTCTGTGTGTTTCCTCCCTGTACCACGTCAGAAGTAGGCGGTGACTTTGTTCCACAAGACTGGTCCCAACCCGCGAACCGGAGATTGCATCTGCCTCTAGGTCTGACTGCCATTGGTAGATCTGCAGTATAATACGAGAGATCTTATGGGCCAAAGTCTGGGGTATTTTCTGTAGTAGCTATGAAATGCTGTTGGTCCAATGTCCTAGGAAAGGCCCCCAAAGACCCCTAGCAAGACTGCCTTCCAACCAAAAAGCATTGTTTCTAAGCCACGTTTCTGTTGGCTTGGCAGACAGAAGCGCAGTAGCAAGTCCCTAAAGATAAAACAGCATTAGAAATCCTTCCTAGAATCGGAAGCGCATCTATGGTGTTCTGAGATCATCAGGCAACCACTAGTAATAGGGTAAGGTAAAAGGCACATGGGAGGCCAGACGCGGTGGCTCACACCTGTAATCCCAGCACTTTGGGAGGCCAAGGCGGACAGATCACGAGATCAGGAGATAGAGACCATCCTGGCCAACATGGTGGAACCCTGTCTCTACTAAAATACAAAAAATTAGCCAGGCATGGTGGCTGTCTCTTATACACATCTAGATGTGTATAAGAGACAGCTCCTGACCTCGTAATCCGCCCACCTCGGCCTCCCAAAGTGCTGGGATTACAGGCGTGAGCCACTGCGCCCAGCCGATAGAAGCCATTTTAACTGGAGTGAGATGATATCTCATTATAGTTTTGATTTGCATTCCTCTTATGATCGGTGATGTTGAGCACCTTTTCATATGCCTGTGTTAGTGACTTCTGATTCCAACCTCTTGCTCTCCCTCCAGATTTGTATTTTCTCTTATTTTATTGTATTGCAGCTGCCTGGATGTCCCTTGCTGCATTAAACTCAATGTGTTCAAAATTGAACTCACTTGCATTACCATCCCCACACCGTGCCTCCCCTCCAAACCCTTTCTCCTCTGTGTTTGCAGGTGGTCCCTGACCATCTACACTGTCACCCAAAGCGGAGCATCATCCTCCTCCTTTCCTCCCTGCACAGCTCCTCTTGGTCTCTTCCTGGTCCCTGGGCTCACTTCCTTCTGGCCACTCAGGCCATTGCAGCAGCTTCTGAGTAAACCTTCCGCGAGCCATTTGGCACTTGGCCCTTCCTCAGGCCCCAGCTATGCTTTGTTTCCCATTCCCTCTTGAAAGGCCTCCAAGACTTGCCCAGTTTTCCTCTCCTTCAGTGCCTGACATCACTCACTCTTTTCCTTTGCATTTTCCCAACTGATCATGGACTGTAGAGGCAAACCGACTTGAACTTGAATCACAACTTAGTCCATACAAGGTATGACCTTGAGTGAGTTACTTAATTTAAACATCTTAAGTCGCAGTTTCCTCAAATGGGCATAATCCAAATGAAGCTGGACTTTCTCGTTCCCACTTTCAGGCCCATCATAGCCAAGTGTGGCATTCTCATGCAATGCTTTGCATTGTATTGATACATATAAATGGAATCTTACTATTTGCATGTTTGCATTTTACATCTTCATTTAACAATATTCCAGTGATATACTGTACTTGGAAATCTTTTTTTGTCAATGCCTATGGATCTCTTACCTTTTAAACTAATTCATGATAATAGAAATGATGGCTAGCAATCGTACAGCTGTCACTGTGTGCCAAGAACTGTGTTCAGTGCATCCAATGTATTATTTCAGTTACTCCTAAAGATAGCCACATTCCCAGCACTTTGGGAGGCCAAGGCAGGCAGATCACGAGGTCAGGAGTTCGAGACCGGCCTGGCCAACACAGTGAAACCCCATCTCTACTAAAAATACAACAAATTAGCCAGGCGTGGTGGTGGATGCCTGAAATCCCAGTTACTTGTGAGGCTAAGGCAAGAGAATCGCTTGAACTCAGGAGGTGGAGGTTGCAGTAAGCCGAGATCACACCAGTGCAGTCCAACCTGGGTGACAGAGCGAGACTCCATTAAAAAAAAAAAAAAATAGCCACATGAGGTAGATACTAGTATTAGCCTCATTTTACAGATGAGCTAACTAGGGCACGTAGAAGTAAGTTCTGGAGCTGAGATTGGGACCCAAGCAATCTTTCATAAAGTTTTCAAGCATAACCACTACATGAGTGTGCTCTATCACTATGGGTGTTTTGCTGAAGATTTTCTTTTGTTTGTTTGTTTGAGACAGGGTCTCACTCTATCCCCCAGGCTGGAGTACAGTGGCATGATCTACATGATCT